TAAGGGGCTCTTTGCAGTTTGGTCCATAATTGCTTTTAGGCTGTTTGATACAGGCCTATTTGGTCTTCCTAAATTGAATATAAACTACATGAGATCAGGGTCTGGGACACTTAAACCTGATAACACATTTTATCTGATAGTGTTAAACAAATTATTTGAAAGTTAATTTAATTTAGTCAAATTAGTCAATATGGCTCATTTCTCTTTCCATCTGTCACAGCCAAGTGTTGAACTACTAAAATAATGAGGTAGGATCATGTGAAAAAAAGAACAATTGACTAGGAGTGAGAATATCGGGACATTACTCTCAGTCCTGTCTTCAAACTGGTATTTGATCCATAGGCAAATCACCTAGCTTCTTTGGTCCTTAGTCTACCAATCTATCAAGAGAGTTGGTCTAGGTAGACTTTAAAATTTGTTTCAAGTTCTAAAAATACTATTATTCCATGAACATTTGCAATGTGTCAAGCCAAAAGTAAAAGGTCAAATTCTTCCTTTTTTTTTTTTTTTTTTTTGAGTTGGAGTCTCACTCTGTTGCTCAGGCTGAAGTGCAAGTGGCACACTCACAGCTACCGCAGCCTCGATCTGCTGGGTTCAGGTGATCCTTCTGCTTCAGCCTTCCAAGTAGCTGGAACTACAGGTGTGTGCCACCATACCCAGCTAATTTTTTAATTTATTATAGAGACAAGATCTCACTATGTTGCCCTGGCTGGTCTCGAACCCATGGGCACAGGCAATCCTCTCACCTCTGTCTTCCAAAGTACTGGGATTACAAGCATAAGTCACCGCACCTAGCTAAAATTCTTCCTTAATGGTTCTATTTTGGCTAATTGGATTACTTTCCCAAGAGCACCATTTTCTTTGTGTATAATTTCAGTATCTATATAATTCATGTCCCCAAACAAGGAATGAGCTATAAATATGGCTTGCTAATACCACTACAGCTATCTAAGTGACACAGTTTAAGCCAAGGAGAAAGTCATATTATGGTTTGAAAAGAAGTATGTCAGTCGGAGTACTGAAAATATGTCATTTTTTAAACATTAATAAAAATTAGAGCAGAAAGAAGGTGGACTCCAAGAAGGAGGATTTTTTTTTTTGGAGAAAGGAGGACTTGAAAGAATAAATTATATGACAGAGTTTGGAAAATGGTGAGAGGATTGCCTGAGCCCAGGGGTTTGAGACCAGCCTAGGCAACTTGACAAGACCTCATCTCTACTCTGATAAATCAAAAAATTAGCCAGGTGTGGTGGTGCATGCCTATAGTTCCAACTACTTGGAAGGCTGAGGTAGAAAGATCACTTGAGCCCATCAGGTCAAGGCTGCGGTGGCTGTGAGCATGCCACTGCACTCCAGCCAGGGTGACAGAGTGGGATTCCAACTCAAAAAGAAAAAAATCTGTACATAAAAGGAAATCTAATCATATAATATACTAATCTTATGTAAATAGTGATTTAAAATTAACTAGAAAACATCAACAATTACATCAGGGAAAAGAGAAAAGGAAATTGGAGGGGTGTATGAGAACTAAATTCTTATCAATCATAATAGCAAATCAATATTTTCTTTAAAAATGATGAGAAGAGCAACCCCTTTGGGTCCTCTCCCACTGTGGAAGCTTTTCTGTCCTCTCAATAAATCGTGCTTTTAAAAAAAAAGATAAAGAAATTGCATTATAAGCATAATTATTTTTAAAATATGGAGGTAACAAGGGGAAATAACCACATATCTTATAACTAATGTGATTTATTTGTATTTTGCTTTGGCTTTACTATAAACATAAAAAATTGAATAATAATTACCCATATGGTATTCATCTCCCACCCCTTTACCCTTGTATCTAAAACACATAACACAGGGATAAGCATCCAATATCTTTAGCAATTTTTTTTTTTTTTTTGAGTCGGAGTCTCACTTTGTCGCCCAGGCTGGAGCGCAGTTATACAATCACCTATAGCAGCCTCGGCCTTCTGGGCTCTGGAGATCCTTCCACCTCAGCTCTCCAAGTAGCTGGACTATAGGCACATGCCACCACACTCAGCTATTGTAGAGATAAGTTGCCCAGGCTGGTCTTGAACCCCTAAGCTCAGGCAATCCTCTCGCCTCCACTTTCCAAAGTGCTGGAATTACAGGTGTGAGACACCACACTTGCTTTTAACAATTTTTGTTGAGGCAATAACCAATGGAAAAATGGAGTGAGGATGTCTTGTTACTGAGTTGCAGAATTTTGCACTGAAAGTAAATTTAGAAATTATTTAATCCAGTACTTTCTTTTTTTTTTTAGTTGGAGTCTCACTTGGTCACCCAGACTGGAGTGCAGTGGCCGCTCCCGGCCACCGCAGCCTCAACCTGCTGGGCTCCGGCGATCCTCCCGCCTCAGCCTTCCAAGTAGCAGGAACTACAGGCGCGTGCTACCACGCCCGGCTAATTTTTTGATTTATTGTAGAGATGAGGTCTCGCCAAGTTGCCCTGGTGGGTCATGAAAATCCAGTACTTTCCAAATTAGTGTTCCATGGATGGAATACTGCTTCTTTGCTACTAATACCATGCTGCAAAAAGTGTTTGGGGCTTGAATAAATTTGGGAAATCTCATGTTAGACAAAATTAATCAGGTATCTCTACTATAAGACTTCTTGAAGATTTTACTATGTTAATACACATTGGGAGTCTCAACCAAAGGCAATTTATTGTGCATTTTTTCTTAGACATAATCATTTCATAAATTAAGAAACCCTGCTAATATCTTTGATAACTCGTGGTTCCTGAAGCAGTCTTTGGAAAACACTTATCTAGTATACTGCCCTCATTTTACAGATGGGGAAAGCCAAGCTCTCAAAAACCTGTTCAGGTAAGAGTGATAGGAGAACTAGTGTCTCAAGACAGAAAGGGCCTCAGAATTGTGGAAAAATCTCTAGTGATTGAAAACACTGGCCTGTGTATACTTAGTCTTTCATCAGGCACCTGAATTCTTTCAAACCAAAGAACAAATTCAAACACAAGCATATCCTTTGAAGATTTTTAAAGGTGTGATGATCCTTAAAGAGCCTAGGAAATGGACCCAAGTGTGGACTGGAGTTCAAGCATAAAGCCCTAGAGTGGGAGCTAAAAATAATCTCAACAGATATAATATACAGTGAACTTCAGTGGCAAAGTGACCCCCAACTGAGCAATGGTAATGTGATAACAGACCACACACACTTGTACAGTGCTTTCCAATAAATACATAAATGCTTTTTTTTTTCCCAGTCAGAGTCTCACTCTGCCACCCAGGCTGGAGTTCAGTAGCAAGCTCATGGTCACCCCAGTGTCAACCTGCTGGGCTCAGGCGATCCTTCTACCTCAGCCTTCCAAGCAGCCAGAACTACAGACGTACCCTACTATGCCTGGCTAATTTTTTGATATATTATAGAGACAATGTCTCACCAAGTTGCCCAGGGTGGTCTTGAAACCCTGGGTTCAGGCAATCCTTTCGTCTAGGCCTCCCAAAGTGCTGGGATTACAGGCCTGAGCCACCACACCTGGCCCATAAATGCTTTTACAATATCATCTCATTTGATTCTTATAATAACCTAGCATTATTATCCCCATTTTATGGAAGAGGAAACTGTCTCTCAAACAGTTAAATGCCTTGCCTGTAGAGTAAGTCAGTGGCAGAGTTGGAATAAGAACCTAAATTTCCTGTCTCTCAGGTCAGTTTTTCTCAATAATCACACAAACTGGGCAAATGCTGAGTGAGTTCCAATTTAAATCTTCCATGAGGCATCCAACCTGCTACTATTGGCTAGCTTAAAAAATAGATCAGTTCTTAGAGTGCTCATAGGTGGTGGCAGAAGCAATACCCCAATTATTGGAACTTCAAAGTCCTCTTTGGGTTCAGTATAGTAATATCTCCTAGAGAGTTAAGCTGCTGAGGAAGGGAGTCTTAGAAAGTTCCTGCTGGAGAAGCTGCATGCTACCATTTATTCATTCTATGATCTTATTCACTACATAATGCTTCAATGTTTCATTTATTCACCTGTAAAAATGAACTAAGAATTTCTATTTTGCAAAGCTGTTGAGAGATTAGGGTAAGGAATTAGAGGGGTAGCAGTGTCATGGGTAAGAGTAAAAGCTCTATAATTATACTGTCTGGATTTGAATCTCAGCCTTGCTTCTTGCTAGCTGTTCAACTTTGGATAAGTCACTTAATTTCTCAGAACTTCAGTTTTCACGTATATAAAAACAGAAAAACAAATAGTGTTTTTGGCTGGGTGCGGTGGCTCATGTCCCAGCACTTTGAGAGGCGGAGGCGAGAGGATTGCCTGAGCTCAGGGTTCAAGACCAGTCTGAGCAACAAGGCAAGACCTCCTGTCTGCAGTAAATCAAAAAATTAGCTGGGCACATGCCTATGGTTCCAGCTACTAGCAAGGCTGAAGCGGAAAGATCACCTAAGCCCAGCAGGTCGAGGTTGCAGTGGCCGTGAGTGTGCCACTGCATTCCAGCCTGAGCGACAGAGTGAGATTCTGACTCAAAAACAAAAACAAAACAAAGACTACTTTTATAATTGTCAAGAGCATCAAAGAAGATAATTATGCATAGTCTGGCATATAGCTCAATAAAAGGAAATTATAGTGGTGGTGGTGGTGGTGGTGAAAAACCTAGTACTCATTTTCTTCCCAAAGCAAGAATGAGAAAGAAAGCTACTCGTTCCTGTTCTCTTCCATTTATGCATGGCCCTTCTTCATTTCTAACTAGACTAGAAGTCAGGACACGGCTTTGAATGTCATCTCAGTCAGATACTAGTTATGTTATCTGAGAAAAGTTATTTAACTTCCTTGAGGCATTTTTCTCATCTGAAACATTAAGTTAATGTTACTCTGCTTATACTACTGAGTTGTTGTATCAAATGATTTCATGGATTTTAAAGTACTTTGTAAACTGTGAAACACTACATAAATGTGAGAGATGACTTTTCATCTGCCACAGAGTATAAGATAGTTTTTTTTTTTTTTTTTTTTTACCAGTAAAAAGCAACTTTATCTCCAAGTTTTTTCTCATGGACATTTCGATCCAGTACATTGTAGCAGATGTTGGTAGTTGCTCCTTTCATCCATTCAATGAAGATTTTTCCTTTAGTCACATCAAAGTTGTACTGAAGGAACGGGCCAGGGCATGGGGTCTTCCAGTAAAATTCCTTGGCAATGTCTCCCCAGAACTCTGCAACAGAAAAGGAAGCCCAGATATCACTAAGCTTCTCAGATAAATACTCAGAGGTATACCAGTCTATGCACAAGACTAAGTTACAACTTACCTGCCCTAAGACCCACGATCTGGGTCCCTCCTTTACCTGTCTAAGCTTATCAACCACCACTCTCCAAACCTATCTTCTGTTCCCACAAGCTGAATCTTGACTCAAATCTTCCTTTTGTCTTCAGAAATGCCTGCCCATTTTTCATCATCTACTCAAATCAGAGCCCCCCAGTATTAACACAATAATTTGTGTGTATGTTACATGGTCTATGTTTCCCAGTCTTGTCTCAAACCCCTGGACTCAAGAAATCCTCCTGCCTCAACCTACCAAGTAGTTAGGGTTATATTGAGCTCAGCCACAAAAATCAGTAAATTTTTTTAATGAAGTGATTAGTGAAAAAAAGAAATTATTTACCTGCAGAGCCTTCCATGACCACCTCTTCTCTTAATTTGTACATTCTCTCTCAGCAATTATGTATTAAACATCTTTTTCTCCTACTTCTACTCGCACAAGTGTTACTCACTATTTGCCAGATGTTGTTTTAAGCTTTTTATATGTATCAGCTCATTTAGTCCTTAGTACAACCCTAGAAAGGAAGCTTTTCTCATTTTATGAATTCGAAAATCAAGGCTCAGAAAGGTTAAGTTGTTTCTCCAAGCTTACTCAGTTACTAAGTCAAGATTTGAATTTCCCTGAGGAAGACACTTTTACTAAAATCTGAAAGATAAATAGGAGTGTTTCTCCATTCCCTTACCAAAAAACAAGTACTATGGGATGAGCAAGAACCATAGGTATTTGTTAAGAGAAATTCCTTGAGACTGAGACATTGAGAATAAAGGAAAGAACAGAAGAAATTGATGCATAAACTGAGCAGATCTTGCAGTTCTGTGCATGAGAAAGAATTTGGTATTTATTCCAAGAGCAATGGAAACCATTGAAGGATTTTAAGCAAGAGTTAAGCCGGGCTCGGTGGCTCAGCCTGTAATCCCACGCCTTTGGGAGGCTGAGGTGAGTGGATTGCCTGAGCCCGCGGGTTCGAGACCCACCTGGGCAGGGAGACCTCATCTCTACAATAAATCAAAAAATTAGCTGGGCGTGGTAACATATGCCTGAATTCCGGCTACTTGGAAGGTTGAGGCAGAAGGATCACCGGAGCCCAGCAGGTCGAGGCTGCGGTTGCCAGGAGAGGCCACTGCACTCCAGTCTGGATGACAGAGTGAGACTCCAACTCAAAAAAACCAAACAAACAAACAAAAAAAACAAAAAAAAAAGAGTTAACCTGATTAGATTTATATTTTAAAAATATATCTGCCAGTCGGGCTTGGTGGCTCAGTCTATAATCTCAGCGCTTTGGGAGGCCGAGGTGAGTGGATTGCCTGAGCCCGCATGTTCGAGACCTGCCTGGGCAACTTGGCAAGACCTTGTCTCTAAAATAAATAAAAAATTAGCCAGGTGTGGTAGTGCGAGCCTGTAGTTCCAGCTACTTGGAAGACTGAGGCGGAAGGATCGCCGGAGGCCAGCAGTTCGAGGCTGCAGTGGCCGGGCACAGCCACTGCACTCCAGTCTGAGTGACAGAGTGAGACTCCAACTAAAAAAAAAAAAATACATATATATATATATCTGCCTGACTACAGACAACAGGCAAAACATGTGACTGCAGAGAATTTAGGATATTCTGAGTACTGGATCAAGAGTTGGAAGAGAGACAATTAGAACCATAACAATGGAAGGAACCTTAAAGATTATCAACCCTTCATTTCATAAGAAATCAAATTCAGGCCAGGCATGGTGGCTTATGCCTATAATCCCAGCACTTTGGGAGGCTAAGGTACCTGAGTCCATGGGTTTGAGACCAGCCTCGGTAGCTTGGCGAGATCTCATTTCTACAATAAATCAAAAAATTAGCCAGGCGTGGTGGTGCACACTTGTAGTCCCAGCCACTTGGAAGGCTGAGGTGGAAGGATCGCCTGAGCCTAGCAGGTCGAGGCTGCAGTGGCCATGACTGCAGAGTGAGACAGACCCTGGGTGACAGAGTGAGACTTCAACTCAAAAAAAAGAAGGCAGGGTGCGATGGCTCAAGCCTGTAATCCCAATACTTTGGGAGGCCGAGGTGATAGGATTGCTTTAGCTAAGGGGTTTGAGACCAGCCTGGGAAATTGGTGAAACCTCATCTCTACAATAAGTTAAAAAATTAGCCGGGTGTGGTGGCACATGCCTATAATTCCAGCTACTTGAAAGACTGAGGTGGAAGGATCGCCTGAGCCCAGCAGATCAAGGCCTTGATCATGCCACCGCACTCCAGCCTGGGCAACACAGTGAGATTCTGACTTAAAAAAAAAAAAAATTCAGAGAGACTAAGTCATTTGTTCAAGGTTACAGGACTTACAGTTTATACAATCTAGTTGGAGACATAAGACCAACATGACATTTTTTGAAAGTACAAGACAGAATATAATTTAATACTAAAGTACATGATGTAATCTATTAAAGAAATCCAAGTTAAATCCATCCCAAGTTGCCATTATATGCCTGTAAAACTAGCAAGTATTTTTTAAATTAAGCCTAATGCTTGGGTGGCCCTGATTAAACAAATACTATTATACCATAATGGCTTGGGGGGAGAAAAAAGGCACAATCATATTGGATAGCAGGGCAATGTCTGACAACAGCCATAAAACTCTTTATACCCTTTTGTCTGCTAACTCAATTTTGGAAGATACACTTCAAGAAAATAATCCCTGAGGGGGGAAAAGGGACTACTAAAAAGATGGTTATAGCAACACTACTTATAATAGTGAAACTGGGCCAGGCTCAGTGGCTCAGCCTGTAATCCCAGCACTTTGGGAGGCCGAGGCAAGTGGATTGCCTGAGCCCGCGGGTTTGAGACCTGCTTGGGCAACTTGGCAAAACCTCGTTTCTACAATAAATCAAAAACTAGCCGGGAGTGGTAGCATGCGCCTGTTGTTCTGGTTACTTGGAAGGCTGAGGCGGAAGGATCCCCTGAGCCCAGCAGGTTGAGGCTATGGTGGCTGTTAGCGTGCCACTGCACTCCAGTCTGGACGACAGAGTGAGACTCCAACTCAAAAAAAAAAACAAAAAAAAAATTAGTGAAACTGGAAATAATTCAAAAGCCCCAAAATAACAAACTGATGAAAATTAGTAACACAAGTAATGATACAATGTAATTCTAAATGGCCATTAAAGAGAAAGCAAATGAAAATTGATGTTTAGTGAATGCCATTCATATATCAGGGACTGGACCAATCTCATTTAATCTTTATGATATTATGGTCCTATGAAGTATATATTAACTGTCCTAATTTTATAAGTGAGAAAACGGAAACTCAGAAAGCATAGGAAACTCCCAAGGACCACATGGCTAATAACCAGAATACACACACTCAAAAATATTTTTAAGTGATAATAAGGAGTTTTATAAAACTACTTATGAACTACAGTTTTGTCCATCAACAAGAAATGAATGAAACTGAGTTTTATGCTCACTTAGGGGTGTGTGTGTGTACCAGAATCTAGCTGTTTCACTGGCATAAATTCTAAGGACTGAAGAAGTTCAGAAGAGGAAACAGATGAGTATAAACTGCAATGGTACGAGAATGCTCTGTGAAATTGGTGGAGTTTGACTAGGTTGAGAAGAGTAGAAGGAAATGGGCAAAGGCAGGAAGGTAGGAAAAGGTGTGTATGCAGGATATAAAACAATAACCTGTCTAGAATAAGGGGTATGTATCGTAGGGAGTAGTGACAGACAAGGATGGAGAGGTGGGATGGCCCTGGAAAGAAAAGCAGAATTTTAATTTGAAACGGCAGGACATAGGGAACGATTGAAAGTTTTTGCAGTAACATATGAAAATAGTACTTCCACAATATCAATGTAATGGTGTTTAGATAAATTCTGGAGAGATTGAAGGTGGTGAAACTAGTGGAGAAAGAATAAATTAGGAGGCTGCTGTCTTGATTTAAAAGGTTCTATGGGAATGGGAGAAAAGGTAAATCTGAGAGAGATTTTGAAGTCGTATTTGATCGAATTTAGTGGAAAGCATACCATGGGGTCAGGGAATAGGATGTAAATTCTGTGATCAAGACTGCCTTGGTTCAAATCCCAATTCCACCACTTTACACTTGATTCAATCCTGTTTGGATTACTCAGAAATTGCTTCATCCGTGTTGTTCTTACTGTTAGCAAACTAACCACCACTTACTGGATGTCTGCGGTGCATCAGGCACTCGAGAATGCACACTTCCAATGCCCCTTCCAGCCTGAGTGACAGAGTGAGACCCCGACTCAAACAAATCAACAAACAAAAAGATCTCGCGGAACCCCACACCTCCTCACGGAACCCCCATCTCGCGGAACCCACTTCCTCACGGACCCACACCTCCTCAGGGAGCCCCACAGCTCCTCGCAGGTTCCCCGTTTCCTCACGGATCCCCTGTCTCCTCACAGAATCCCACACGTCCTTGCCGACCCGGCGAGTCTCTGAAAACCACCCGCCCTGTCTCCCGGCGGGACCCCCGAGAGTCCGGGAGCCCCCCAGCGCCCGCAGAGCCCGTCCCTCCGCGGGACCCTCTTCCCCTCGGGGAGCCCCACCTCCTCCGGAACAGCCTGCCACTGCCTCCGAGCCCGCAACTCCTCATGCAC